CAAGCTCGTTCTCCCTTCCCTTGCCCCTCCTTCCTCAGGATATAAACCTTTTGGACATTTGCCTTTGGAGACATTGAAAGACTCCATGCTAAAGAGGTTCAAATACGATATACACTGTTCTGGCTACTGGAACGATGTGTGAATGTTTATTCTAGAGACACATGGAGGACACGTTGAATTCTGAATGAAAAGGGGACACTGTTGGCGTCTGTGAAGGAAGGAATGCTCTGAAGATTTATTTAACTTTCATGTTCATTGATACAGCATATCAGTTGTATTGTAACACACACACACACACACACACACACACACACACACACACACACACACACACACACACACACACACACACACACACACACACACACACACACACACACACACACACACACACACACACACACACACACGCACGCACGCATAAACATAGATATACTAATTGATTATTAAAAAATTAGAACCATATACTATAGAAGAAAGCGAGAGAGGAAAAAAAAACAACTGACAGACAAAAATAAAATATAAAAGAGAAACAGAGGATAATAATTAGCCTTTGTCCGGGTTTTACAGATTACAGATTGATTAAAATGTCTAAACAGCCGTGTTTGTGTTTCTGTTTTGCGTAGGTTTGTATTACCACTTCCAATCATCCCCGGAATATATCATTGTGTTACATTCAGATACGTAGGCTTTTGATTTAATTGAACTATAAAACAATTCTGGAAATGATACACATTTTTTACTATGGTAATGTATTAGGAACATCCATATTGTACTATAATGCAGGTTAAATCAGAACTTTAAAGTCATACATAGTTCTATATCACTCATATAAATCAACATAACACTGCAGTTTACAAGGACCACTAATCAAGAAAAAAAATATTGTGTAAAAAACGTCACCAAATATCGAAACTTTATGTAGTGTTTCTTGATATTCCTTTCGAAAAAAAATATTTCGTTTTTCAAACAAAATGTATTCTTATTGATTATAATCTAGTTCACTTGCATAATGATCTCTCTCTCTCTCCCTCACTCTCTCTCTCTCTCTCTCTCTCTCTCTCTCTCTCTCTCTCTCTCTCTCTCTCTCTCTCTCTCTCTCTCTCTCTCTCTCTCTCTCTCCATTTCCATGTTCATTCTCATTCTAACTCTCACTATTACTTTCACTCTCGCTTTTACTCTCTTATTGTTATTGCTATTGTTATTATCATTATCATTAGGAGTAGTAGCAGTGGTGGTGGTGGTAGTAGTAGCAGTAGCATCAATGCTGATGTTACTGTTGCTACTATCATTATTGTTGATTTTATTATCATTATCATTATTTTTATTATTGCTGTTGTTGTTGTTGTTGTTGTTTTTATTAACATTATTATCATTATTATTATTATTATCATCATTATTTTTATTACTGTTATTGTTACAATAATTATTATCATTATTATCATTATCATTACTATCATTATCATTATCATTACTATTATTTTTATTATTATTATTATTATTATTATTATTATTATTATTATTATTATTATTGTTATTATTATTATTACTATCATTATTATTATCATTTGATTATTATCATCATCACTATTATTATCATTATCACTATTATTTTTATCCTTATCATTATCATTATAATCATTATTATTATTACTTTTACTTTTATTATTTTCTATTGTTGTTTATCATTATAAACTTCATCATTATTATTAATATTATCATTTATTGACATAATGATTGTTAGTACTAGTATTAGTATATTATTAGTATCATAACGGTATCGGCATTATTATGTTATTGTTATTTTTGTTATTATAAGCGTCACCGTCGTTATTGCTGTTATCCTTATTATCATTGTCATCGTTATCATAATCACTACAATCACAATCTTGACCAACATCAGTCATAATCATTATCATTATCATCATTGTTATTTATCATTATTTTTTATTGTTATCATTAGTACTATTATTATTACGGTTATTATTATTGTTATTATTATCATTTTTACCAATATCATCATCCTCGTCATTTCATGTAGTAGTAGTAGTAGTGTCACTGCTATTAGGGTCATTATCATCACTATTATTATATGATAATAGTAATTATTAATATCAATATAATGATAATTGTTATTATCAAAGATATTATTATTATCATAAATATTATCATTATTATCATAAATATTATTAATATTATCATAAATATTATTATCATTGTTATCATCACTATCATTTTCATCATCATTATTTTTTTTTTTGCTCATTATTATCAATATTTGAATTATCATTATTATTATTTTTGTTCATTATTATCAATATTTGAATTATTATTATTATTATCATTACCATTATTATTATTATCTTTACCATTACCATTATCAAAATTATTACAAAATGGTCAAGAAAAAAGCAAATTTATACGAAGTAATTATTGATAAAAAAAGAATATTAATGATCCTAAGATAAACAGCAATATATAACATTCAACACAAATGGAA